GCAAGACCCAACACTCTGGATGAGCTTAAGGCCGCTATCGAAGCATCCTGGGCCTCCATAACACCTCAGCAGTGCCACAGGCTGATTGCCTCCATGCCACGCCGCATTGAAGCAGTCATTTCTGCAAAAGGATTCCCGACCAAGTATTGACTATTGAGTGCATAACTGAACATAATTATTTGAAGGTTGACTTTTTTTTTTTTTTGTATTAAAAACACTTCTTTTATTGGTCGGATGAAATATGCTAATTTTTTGAGACAGGAATTTTGGGTTTTCATGAGCTGTATGCCAAAATCATCAGTATTAAAACAATAAAAGACCTGAAATATTTCAGTTGGTGTGCAATGAATCTAAAATATATGAAAGTTTAATTTTTATCATTACATTATGGAAAATAATGTATCACAAAACTTTATCACAATATGCTAATTTTTTGAGAAGGACCTGTAGCCTATTTGATGTGATGAATTGCTCTGTCATTTATCAGATTTACCAATTGTTATAATTTTAATTTGTGCTGGTTAATTATGAACAATGGGTAAAATTGGGGGGCGGGGCTCCACTGGGGCTCCTCCCCTTGGGCTCCTCCCCTAACCGCATGTGATCTCACTCCAAGCTTTTGATAAAACTTGAGAACCCTGTTTTGTGAATCAATGAAAATTCATCGGCTATAACAGCCCCCTCATTTGCGGTGTCGGGTTTACGCTCACTAATATATGTTGCTACCCGCTGCGACACAGAGTTTTTAAATTGTTCAAGCAAAATCAACTCTTTTAAATCATCTAACGTTTTCACGTCAGAAGCTGCACACCAACGATTGAAGTGAAGTGAAATATCATGTACAAACTCAACATGCGTTTGACTATCGGTTTTCTTCCAGGACCTAAATTTTTGCCTATATGCCTCTGGGACCAACTCGTATGCCCTACATATAGTACAAATAGTCCTTAGCATTTTCCACATTCAGAGACAAGTATGCTTCTTGAGCTTTCCCTGTAAAAACCGACTGTAACATAAGCGTGCATTCCTCATCTGGCCAATTTCGTGCTTCTGACACGCGTTCAAACAACAAAAAGAAACGTTCAACATCTTTCTCGTCAAATTTAGGTATCAACCTCATATTAGTCACTACATCAAATTTACACGAAGCCAAATCACGTTTTACATCTTCTGTTAAATGACCGGATTTGATCGATCTAACCGGTAACGTTCCAGTTCAAGCTGTTGTTGTTGTAACTGTAATTTAGACATCTCAAGGCGATTTTGTGCCTCTAGCATTTCTTTTTTAGTATCTGTTTGAATTAACAACAATTGTTTTTGTTGTTCAAATGTCAGATGAGACACTGGTGCAGCAGCACTAACAAAACATGACGCATCTTCCAAAGATTGAGATTCCAAAACTCCGCATTCAAATAACTGTCTTAATCACAGTTTTAATACTATCCTTTAGACGTTTATCTTGACTTGACAAACTAATTTTATAATGAGTTGAAAGTTCTACTAACTGATCTTTAGAAAAATCATCCAACAGAACTTCAGACGGAGCACTAATAAATTCCTCAACCTTTGAATCCATGATAAAACAAGAGTAGCCTACGGTTAACCAATTTACAAAAATATATCTGAGGGGTAGAAAGTGGATACACAATCCCTCTAACTAAATTTCTAAATTATCTAAACATATCCCTAATCTTCGTACAGTTATGCTGCGTTCCAGGCAGGTTTTTGAGCACGTAAATCACGACTTCAAACCACGACTCACGACTTTGTAGCATTCCAGGCCAGTCACGCCAAACTACCTGAGCGCAATATACATACTTATTTTTTCAGACACATAACATTGTAATACATAATCGTGTGTGTATATACATACTTATGGTTTCAGACACATAACATTGTAATACATAAACTTGTGTGTATTATTATCATTATTATTATATTATTATTAATTTGACTGCAGCGTTATATTGTCCTAAAGTGTATTCTCACTGTGTACCGCCTGCAGAAACACTGCATCCGTAGGGGCTGCCATTGTTGTTTTGTATGGTTTTGCGGGCTATGTGACGTCAGAACTCGTAACTGGGAGTACATCGATCTAGTACGAGTTCACGGGTGGGAAGTCACGGGTTTGACTGCCGTTCCAGTGCACTTTCACGTGTATAAGGTTGGAAAAACACGGGTTACAGGTTGCCTGGAACGCGACATTACTTGCAGCGGGTTTTTATTAGAGTTGTGACGTTCGCGAACGAACCGATTCTTTTGAACGGCTCATAAACATGAACGATGGGAGCCGAGTCGCGGCTGGAGGGGAGCCGTTCTTTCTGTCGTTCTTTTTTCATGCGTGTTTCACACAGATGCACACAAATTAGCTCCTCAGTTATAGGGGAAGGGGCGCACCCAGCGCAGGGGTGCTACTGCCTAACAGCATGATGATAGTTGTGCACGCGCGCGCATCCTTTAGTGAGTACTCCAGTGGGAAAAAACCCTACGTGCTGTCATTGGGTAGGAGCAGAGCCAATGACTTATGCCGTCACATGGTTACTCCAGTAAAAAAAAAAAAAAAAAAAAAACACTAAAGTAACACTAAGTTCCTTTGTAAATAAATACAAAGGAACTGCTTTGTATTTATTTACATTGCATTTTGTGTTCATGTTATTGTATCTACAGTATATATTTACAACTTTAAATAGTTTTTGTTTTTTATCAAAATGTTCTTGTGGTATTGTATGAATAACATAAGTCAACGTAGCTTTACACATACACATACTTTGTACTAAAGGTAAATCCAAAATAGTGATATCAGTTTCTAAGCAGAGGGATGTTGTGCAACCCTATGGAATATAGTCCACACATGACAAATGAGGTAATAATCAATATTTCAGAATAATTCAAACTCAGATATTGGTGTGTGATATCTGAGTTTTAAGTAATTGACTACAAATCTCACCTCATCATTCCTCCCAGTGATTATTTCCAGGATAAACTGAGATGCCCCCAAGCTGGCTTCTTAAAACTGACTAAATATTTAAAAAGAGCCAAAAGAGCCGTTCTTTTGAACGGCTCTTTGAAAGGAACGGATCGCAAAGATCCGGATCTCCTCAAAGAGCCATAAATCCCATCTCTAGTTTTTATCAAGCGTGCCGCACAAGCCTTCAAAAGTGAAGCCAAAACGTCTCGATCGCCCCCCGGTGACCGGTCCTAGTATAGGTCATAAGCCCCGCCTCCCCATGTTATTCAACGGGACGTGAGACCAACTAAATAATTAAATTACACTTCACATATCTTTTTTCTAAAGATAGTTTCTGTCATTTACTGTAGTTTCTATCACGTTGATGTAATTTCAAGGGTTTGTTTTTAAAATATTTATATTTGTATTAGAAATGTGTAAATTAACAAAGGACCTTTTGAAATCAAATGAACTGGTGCATAAAATCATTGATTTTAAAAGGTAATTTGTGACATGAATGTGTTGGTTTATTTTCTAAATATTAGATGCATTACAAAGTTTATAAATGATATAGCCTACGCACCAAAACTGAGTTCTACTCTTATTCAGTTCCTTTCTCATTTTCTGCAGCCTCTAAATATCTCTAAAATCAAGTTATGTTTTCTGAAAAAACAGATATTCCCTGACCCTAATAATCAGCAAATACTCACCTGTCATCCTTAAACATCTGTGCTTGATCTGTGTCCAGTCAATGACAGTTTTAATGTTTACAGTATCCGCATTCACAGTGTTACACTCGACCTCTGGCTCAGATCCCTGTAGGAGACTGAAATGTTGTATATTTTCTTTCAGCATCTGCAACTCTACAGTTGTAATATATATATATATATATATATATATATATATATATATATATATATATATATATATATATATATATATATATATATATATATATATATATATATATATATATATATATATATTCTAATCTAAAATTGAGATTAAAACATTATATTCAAGCTGACCTTTAACGTCCATCCTTCATGGTGAAAATGGCAAACTCTTGATATGTTGAGGAAAATGAGAATGATAAAAGTGAAGAAAACTCATAAATCCAGTAGTTCAAACTGAAAAGGTTTGTGTTTGTTCTTTGTTTCTTCTCTTATAAAGGCACATATTGATTCTGAATTGTAACCAGGAGAGGGCAGCATAAGTTCTGGATCTGAACTAACATAAAATTATAACATAAAAATATCTTTCAAGATCGTTCTGCTAACTTTCCCACGAAGTAACGAAAATGTTATTTCTGAATGTTCTCTAAACGTTCAGTTTAAAACGATGTTTTTCTTAGTAATTCAAACGCTAAGTGAACATTACATTTTGCAAACGTAATGGGAATGTTGTTTTAAATGTTCCCTGAAACTAGTATAACATTTAAAAATTTAGTTGACGATGTCAACTAAACTGTTGACATTTCAGGGAAAAAGTTCCATTAACGATAGGATATTTGTGCTAATGTTTTAAGAACATTATTAGATCATTTTGAACCAATGTTAACATTACTGACAGAACGTTTGTTCGTAACTTTGGGAGAACGTTTCCTGTAAACTGGGATTACAGAACCCATTGCATTAAAGGTTTGTGGTTTTTAGGGCGTCTATAGTTTTGAGGGCGTCTATAGTTTTGAGGTTATATGCTAGGCTACAAATCAGAAGAAAAAAATTAATAGGCTACATACGTTAAACTATTATAATGATCAAGTGTTTACTCAACAACACCAAAGACGATAGTAACTTTGAACACACACTCATTTTCTTTTCTCTTTTCTTTTCTTGTTTCGTTCTTTCCAAATTTTGTAATGGGAATGTTACACTGTGCAGTAATGATTGAACTTGTTTAATATGATGTAATTTTGATGGAAATGTTCTAGATTTCTAAAAGATGTGTGTTTGCACCATAGTCATTTTTCTTGAAATATTATTTTTAAAAAGAAAGAAAAACAAACACCTATGTCGCGTAAGCGGAAGTGCTGTAGCGGAGTGGGAGGGGCTTGTGACTGGCATCGTCACGTCCGCGCGAGAGCGAGAAACAGGAGTGTACGCGCAGTGAGTGAGAGCGCGAGAGGATGGAGGCCGCAGAGCAGCAGCGGAGCTCGAGTGACGGCGCGACCGCCAGAGGAGCGGGTGTCCCGGGCAGCGGAGGCGGCGCAGGGCCCGGAGGAAGCGCGGAAGGCGAGCGGGACAGAGATCGAGCCACTTTCGAGTGTAACATCTGCCTGGACACCGCCCGAGATGCGGTCATCAGCCTCTGCGGACACCTGTTCTGGTACAGCTGATCGATAATCGATCACCATCAATATCATAACAGCAGGAGCCTAAACAACACACACAGCATGACAGTGAGGAAATGATTGACAGCGAGACCCTTTACCATAGCAACCAAACCTACTTGTACTGATAATACCTGTTATTGTTATTTACTCACGTAAAACTGCAGCAACACAACATGTCAAAGAACAACAGTCAATGATTGACAGTCTGACATGTTGACAGGGAAGAATATGTTCTCATTAATTCACCATGGTTATTATCAATCACTTGGCCTACTTCAGTTACTGTTGTTGTCATGTAGTAACGGTTTATCTTCCTTCACTGACATAGACTTATACACGAGATACACTGAACTTTCTTTAAAGTACATTACAACATCATTTAAATACCATGGTGTACAGTACAGTACAGTACCATAGTAATACTGAACCGTGGTAACACCACAGTAAGGACATAGTTACTGCAGTTGTTGTTATTATAGTAAAATTGTGGTAAACATGAAGTCAGTATGACTGAAATATTCAGAATGAGCACCTGCGTTATTATGCTATGATTTTGCAGTAGTAAAATCACATTATTTCTTGTTCTTCTGTGGTGATTTGGTGCAGAACTGGTCACTCTTGTTTTGATTGACAGGGTGATTTTTCAGCGTGTTTAAGTGTGTATTGCTGTGTGAAGCTCCTCATGACACATTCATCTGAGAGCTTATAACATTGTAATGCCTGACATATGACATAATAGTCAGACAAATTAATTAATTAATGAATCGATTGATTGATTTTTTTAAAACCTTTTGATGACATCTAAAGAAAGTTTACGTATGTGTTTATCAGGCTTTTACTCATATAGTCTGATATAGCGAGAATATGGAGCAAAAATATGCAGATGTTGATGTTTAAATGGACAAAACACAACATAAAATGCAGATTAATATCAATATCTGCCAATAATGTCTTAAGATGAAATGCTTATTATTATGATAAAAGCTCTGTAGGTTTTAAACATAATGCAATGCAATACAATGATGATTGAGAGATGAACTAATAAACCTTCCTCATACGCCTGATGATCATATTTGATACTCATAATTTTGATAATAAATGATGATGGATAAACAAGTAAACCTCCTTCAGTCCAGCTGAAATATTACTAACAATATCAAAGTTATTCTTGCGTTTCCTTGATAAAATCAGGGCAGATTTGACACAGAAAGACTCGTGAAGCTCGAGCTGAAGGGCGTTTGTACACTTATATTACAAGACTTTTACTGGATAAAAGAGTCTGAACTGTCAATCAGAGACAGGAGTGAGAGATTGTGTGCGACAGCAAAGATAAGATCATTTACAGGCCTTAGATATTCATGTATTAAATATGAAACTTTAAGTAACTTTTAGTGTGTTTCAGCCAGGGAAGTTTCTCTCTCTTTCAGTAATAAACGACAGATAGAAATCAGAACAAACAAACATGTGTGACTGTGTTCCTCACTCGCTCATGCAAAGGCTTGATGAGTTAATGTGATTAAAGCATGTTGTTTTCTGCTGGACTCGTGTTCATGTGTGACTGTAGCTTCGCTCGGACCAGATCTTCATGTGCGTTTAGTGCCGTTCGCGTGAGATTATCAGGTTAATGAGAGATTAGACTCCACAGGAGGATTGAGGAAGAGTAAGAATAGATGCACACGTAACACTGACCCCTGTGTGTGCGACCCTTCATTCGTCATGTTTGTTTTGTAGATTTGCAGATGTTGTGGATTGTGTTTATGATTGTGTGCATGACAAACATCTCTTAGTTATTCAATATTTAGGCAACAAACCCATCAGAAGTATTTTTTTCCATTCATTTCTCCCATGGGGAGTTTAAAATAGCCTTTGTTAAAGCATTATAAGCTGATACGAGGAGAATCATAACACTACAAACTGATTTGAAGCCAAAAATATTTGAAAATCTGACAAAAATACAAAGACTGTGAACTTAATGGCTTTACTGAGGGAAAGAACTACAATCCCATGAAGCATTGCGATGGAGAAATATAAAACTACTCATTTACAAATGTTGATTGTATATGTATAAAAACAAGATATTATAAGTTTATTGCAAAATATTCATATCTATTTAAGTATTTTGAGAGTGTAGAGATGAATGTTCGCTTCGTGCTTCATGGGAGTGGGAGGAGCTAAAGAGATCTCTTAACTCTCTGATTGGTGGAATTTTCTGGGTCATCATGGGTAATGTAGTTTTTCACCAGGAACTCCATTGTTAAACTCAATTGTTTTAAATAAAGCTTCAGCAGAAGCAAATAGCATCGATTAACAACCTCGTCGTAGCTCACAGTAGGTTTGACTTTAAAGGTTTATAAGTTCAAAATGGAGAAAATGAATGAGTTTTTACTTCCGGTACCGGACTATATTATGCTATAAAATATAATACATAAAGTAGTTGTAAAATTATTTCAATGAATCTGCACTTTGAAATTGTTTTCATGACAATTGAAAACATTTATTCCCCAATCTCATGACTATAATTCTCTTTTTTTACTGTGATATTTCAATATTTTTTACATTACTGTAATAATAATAGAAAATCTTGATTTTCATAGAAACATTATCACGGTGAATGAAATATTAATAGTTCTAAAAAATTCATGTGATGATCTTATTATGCCTTTTGTTTCTCGTGATTTTTAAGGGTGAAATATTACCCAGACGCGTTATCAACAGGTTTCATGAGATTCACCATATTTTATATTCACAACTTATTGTAGCTTTTAATTTTCATTGAGAAATAGGGGAAATATGCAGACAGATATATCGACTATAATTTTCTGTAGCACAGATTACATTACAACTATAAGATTTTACATGAATGCCTTTTATCTGAAGTGACATGCATTGATTGCATTTGATTGGTTAATGCATTCCCTGGGAATCGAACCCATGACCTTGTGTTGCTAGCATCATGCTTTACTGTTTGAGCTACAGGAATACTATTGGCTATTAAAATAACATAAATGTATTAACTAATCTTTGACTTCTCTCTCTGTCTGTCTCTCCTGGTTTGTTGTCTCGTGCAGTTGGCCTTGTCTTCATCAGGTGAGTGTGTGTGTGTGTGTGTGTCATTTGTAGTGCACACTATGATGTTGTGTGATTCACTAGAGTAAAATGACACAGACGTTGAAAGCATGAGCGGCTTCACAGAAAGCATCAAACTCTTGTTACAGTATTGCAGATAACTAATATGACGATAGACATTATACAGTGTATTATATCTGTTCATACTGAGTGAGTGGGATTACATGCTTACACATAATTAGATAATAAAAGTTTATAATGTACAGTAGAAACTGTTTAATAATTAATGAATAATGTACAGTCAGTCATCTTATTTTATATATCTATATTTTTACTTGAGTAATACTTTTATTCATCAAGGTCGCATTAAATTGATCAAAAGTTACGGAAAATCTATTTATAATGTTACAAAAGGTTATATTTCAAACAAATGCTTTACAGGTGAAACTGGAAAAATTAGAATATGGTGCAAAAGTTCATTTATTTCAGTAACTCAACTTAAAAGGTGAAACTAATATATTATATAGACTCATTACATGCAAAGTGAGATATTTCAAGCCTTTATTGGTTATAATTTTGATGATTATGGCTTATAAAAACCCCAAATTCAAAATTAGAATTGAATTTCTAGAGCTGTAAGCCATAATCTGTAAGCCATAATCATCAAAATGATAACAAATAAAGGCTTGAAATATCTCACTTTGCATGTAATGAGTCTATATAATATATTAGTTTCACCTTTTAAGTTGAATTACTGAAATAAATGAACTTTTGCACCATATTCTAATTTTTCGAGTTTCACCTGTATTGTGTCTTGAGCATCAGATCATCATATTAGAGTGATTTCTGAAGGATCATGTGACACTGAAGACTGGAGTAATGATGCTGAAAATGCAGCTTTGATCACTGGAATAAATTACACTTTACTATATATTCACATAGAAAACAACTGATTTACATTGCTATAATATTTCAGATTTTTACTGTATTTTTGATCAAATAAACGCAGCTTTGCTGAGCAGAAGAGACTCTTACAGGATCAGTGTCGTGTGTGTTTCAGTGGCTGGAGACGCGTCCCAGCAGGCAGCAGTGTCCCGTGTGTAAAGCAGGAATCAGTCGAGATAAAGTCATTCCTCTGTACGGCCGTGGCAGCACCAGTCAGGAGGATCCCAGGTACTCACTCGTGCCCTAACTAGTGCACTCACTCTCACTGCATACTGCCTTACTGACTGGATGGTTTCACAAAGCTGTTTTAGACCGGTCTATAGTGTTGACAAGTCTAAAATTAGCCCACAGACTAGTCTAATGCAAGTTAGACTGTTTCACAAAAATAAAGACTGACTTAATTTAGACCAAAAAAATTAGACGCCCACAGGCTAACTTAGGGCTAAGACTCTGTTACCTTGGCAACCAGCAGTAACAATCAGTTTCATTACAAAAATTGTGAACGCAGCATATATGTTACCGTGGCAACCAGCAGTAACAACCACTTACATTACAAAGATTGTGAACGCAGCATATATGTTACAGTGACAACCAGCAGTAACAACCACTTACATTACAAAGATTGTGAGCACAGCATATATGTTACCGTGGCAACCAGCAGTAACAACCACTTACATTACAAACATTGTGAACGCAGCGTATATGTTACCGTGACAACCAGTTACATTACAAACAGCCGAAAGAAAAGGGGAAATGAGCGACACCTGTGAGACGCATGTGTGTGTGCTTTGGGTCACATGAAGGATTGAGAAATTAATGAATAATTAATGTTAATAAATAACCATCAAAACCAGTGGGGATTTTAAGAATCCAGGTTAGTTTGTAGTGCTGGGCCAGGGTTATTATGGTTAACTACAACTATTAAAAACATTTGTGTAATAATTGAAATAAATCTGAAATTAAATGAAAGTGGAGTCAGTTGAGACCGTAGGTAATATTAAAGGGGTCATATAATGCCATTTTTGTACAAGCTAATATGATTCTTTAGGGTCTAAATTAAAAGTTTGTAATATACTTTAATAAAAAATTCTCATTAGTATTGTAAGAAAACACTTATTTTGCCTGGTCAAAAACAGCTCTGTTTTCAGCACGCCGTTTCAGTGTATATGACTTTAAATGATCATGAGCTTTGCTGACTCCGCCCCTCTGTTCTATGCATACACGTTTGTAACACAATAACACAATAACACAATAACCATAACGTGTTGTTCATTATAAACGTGGGATTATGAATTATATTGAGAACGTCGTACATAGAAAACATGCAGTAATGTACCCTGAGTGTAAACCTTAGACGCATTCATCGTGAAGCGATTTGCAAAGATATAAATATTAATATAAAGTTTAATAAAACGTTACACTCACTTCAGTTCTTCTGGAGGTTCAGCAGGAACACGAATATCTGGTACCGATTCTTTATTCATGAGCAGCTTCTTAGCAAAACCAGCTTTATACTGATCCTCGTTTATAAAGCAGTCTGCTGAGAAATGATTCATGCAAACATGAACGCATTGACGTTGCTCGTGGGGAATATTCCCTTCGAAAACAAACTCAGCCACTGCGTCTTCAGCGGTTCGGATTTAGGAACATTAAAATGACTGTGTTCGTTATTACACCGAAGAACAGAACACCACAATCGCTTAGACACCATTCTGCTCATAGACAGTGCTCCAGCATATCAACAATGACCGCGCCGGTCCGCGCAGACTATGATTGACAGCTCACTCATGAGCGAGGGCGGGTCTGTGTTGAAACGCGCCTATCAAATCAACAATCGCGGGAGGGGCTTCCGACCGTGTGACGTCACAGGCTCGAACGGCTCGATTTGAGGCAGGGGAAAACATATAAGGAGATTAAAACAAAACCACTGGATGGATTTTTATCATTATATGATGTTTGTGTACAGGCACTGCCAACACACATTTCAGTACAATCAACTTGTAAAAGTGCATGTACCATTATATGACCCCTTTAATAATATTTTATTCATATTTTATAAGTGTTTGTTTAATACCCTGTTTCTGCTGTAAAAGGATTTGTTATACTGTTTATTTCTATTTTCTACTTTTATTCTAATGTGTATTTGATTTGATTGCATGTGTTTATGATTAGAATAACAGCGGTCAGCAAGAAGAAACGATTTATTTAGTTATTTGCATTGTGCTTGAGAGAGAGACTGTGTTTGTTGTGATTGTATCTGCAGGCTGATGGTTTTACTCATTTGAATAGTGTGTGTGTGTGTGTGTGTGTTACAGATTGAAAACGCCACCACGACCTCAGGGTCAAAGGACAGAGCCCGAGAGCAGAGGGGTGAGCGACTGTCCTGACATCATTATGGTGTGGTTATGAATGTATTATTAATGTGATCATATCTCTCTCTCTCTCTCTCTCTCTCTCTCTCTCTCTCTCTCTCTCTCTCTCTCTCTCTCTCTCTCTCTCTCTCTCTCTCTCTCTCTCTCTCCCTCTCTCTCTCTCTCTCCCTCCCGCTCTACCTGTCCCTCTCTCTCTTGCTCTCCCTCTCTCTCTCTCTCTCTCTCCCTCTCTCTCTCTTGCTCTCTCTCTCTCTCTCTCTCTCTCTCGCTCAACAGTTTCAGGGTTTTGGCGACACAGGGTTTCACATGTCGTTTGGGATCGGTGCTTTTCCGTTCGGTTTCTTCACCACAGTCTTTAACGCCAACGACCCCTTCCACAGGCCAGGTCAGTGCTGCTGTCGCTTTATGACACGCTCTCTGTTAAAGTCACGGCATGACAAATGTTATGTGTCTTGATTTTTTGACATATAAGAGTTGTTCCATTAAAACATCCTGCAAGTTTCAGAGCGTTAAAACATCCTCCTCATTATAATAGAGCATTTATTTAATCAATCTCCCAAAACTGCTGGTTTGGATATTGCGGGATCTGTGAGGTAAATATATTTGCATATGAGCCTCCAGTCTATCAGTTATACATCATAGGCCCCGCCCACTGGCTATCATTTGTTTTGTTTGTTTGTGCAAAAAACTTTATTTGCATCATAAGTAGCCATGTTTCCATCCACTTGTCAATCGAATTATCTGAAGTTCGGTAAAAAAACTCATGCGAATAAAGCTGGTGAAAGTGTGTTTCCATCCAACGGCTTTAAAACGGATACAAACCTGTGCGTAATGACGTCACATGCTGTTTTGCGATCAAATTGGTATATCGAATTGATTTGACATTTTAAGGTGTTTCCATTCATTTTCGCACTGAATCGCACAACATTCAAGCCAACATTTGCGAACAAAGTTTTGCTAGACAAAATGGATCGCACCATCTACCAACAAATGATCAATATTGCACAAGTTGTAGCCTAATAGTGCTTATGTGCCAGCTGATAGCGACATGTGTAAGGGATAATGTATAGCGAGGCGGTTGTTAGCCTGAAGGGGTTGTATTCGCTATAACAACCGCCTCGCTATACATTATCCAGCTTATTACATGGCTACCTACCAAATAAATAAATAATTTGATACAAAATATTGATTTAAAAAGGAGTTTACTGATTTAAAAACGATTGTATTCCTTCCGCTACAGTAAATAGTCCGTTCCGTCTCTGAACTGCGTCCATGGCAACGCTCTGTTTTTCATGGCAACGGTGTGTTATACTTAGCAACGGTGTGTTATACTTAGCAACGGTGTGTTATCAAGAAATAACAGACCGCATTCTACATTAGAATTCAAACAAGCCATGTAATAACAAGCTATAATAAGAAAACAACGACGCTATCAACACATTGCTATGATGATGCAGAAGCACGTAAATGCCCGACGACATCGGAGGCGGCCTGTGGTGTGGGAACGACAGCGCTCCATCAGTTCTGGGAGATCGCGGTTCAGAGACACCTCACGGAAACCCTTTGGTTGAAGCATTTTTTTGCTTTGTCCACTTACATCGGCCTTTGTTGACACCCGCCATGTGTGCGCAAACAGAGCGGAAATACTGGGCGAAAATGAACTAAAACTTCTGCTATGTTTTGTGGCGTGTTGCAGCCATAAAAGGACCTAAAACTTAATCGCAATTCATTATTTATTCGGCAAATAACGTTTCATCAGCGTTTATCGCATAAGCCGTATATCGATCAAGATAAAATCCGATGAGACCGAACGTATTTCATTTGAGTCGATATTCATGAAATTCAATCGAATTTGACTGTTTCCGTAAGGCGTTTTTCATTCGATATCACTTAATTCGGATAAAAACGTGTGGATGGAAACTAGGGATGAGTCGCGATCTTCGAATAGTCGAGCTGCGTTCGATCATAAAATTGCTTATTCGAATATCGTTATATTTTCGCGCAATTCCAATGTGACATAATTGACGGCACGCCTACAGTCACAGATCGCCAGCAGGGTATTTTCCTGTCAGGGACACAAGGTGTCACTAACATGAATGAAACCCCCTCCTGCGCGATCTAGGATACCAGCGTTTTATACATAGTGTAAACAAACAACAGAAGAAGAGCATTGTCGTGACCGTTAACTCTGCGCCGAACAGAGGTGGGTAGTAGACTAACCTTTACTGTCTATGGTAGTAGTAACCGTCTATGGTAGTAACAAAGTAGACTACATTTACTTCACTACGTTGGGCGACGTTCCTCTCGTTACTTTATTTTAATGCAATACATGTTGTTAAATGCGTAGTTTATTCCAAGCGCGCTGTGTCTTTTTTATGGGCATGAGCGATGCTCCATTCACAAATGAATCACTCTTTTGAGTCGATTCTGTTCAAAGACTTCATCAAACAAGTTGGCTGATCTGTCTAAATCGGTTCGCGAATCAGTTTGAATGATCTGTTCAGTTCCTCGCGCACTGAATCGCTTTCAATTCACACTCGACACGGAGTCGTAACAGGAAGATTTAAGAACATCAAGAGCGTTGGATGAAGTGGCCGTGGACCTACAGTTTAGTCTAGTGAAAGCAGATCTGCAAATGCATCATATTTTTGCCAGCGATGAAGATCTAGTTGAACATCTTCGTATGCTGTCTGTGAATGAATGATTCCAAAGGACGATACATTCTAGTCAGTGGCGTAACGAGCCAACACCGGGCCCTTATGCAGGATTATCAAGGCGGGCCCCCTACAACACGTGATGACGCAATGTCCACGAGTAGGCTTTTGCATGCAATACGCAAGGAACTGTTTACACCTGGCCACTTCATGCTTTTTCTGTGATCGTATAGCTATCCGATCGTGAAAAGACCAGGTGTAAATTCCCTTCGAAACGCATTCGAGACGGATTTGAATCCGGTCGCTCAAACCACTTCAGGAGGTGGTCTGGGCCGCATTCCAGACGACACTGGACCAGTGGCGTAGGCAGAAATTGTATTTTGGGTGGGCCAGTGAAAATGTGAGTGGGCCTATAGTTTTTCATAGAAAAAAATGACTTCAGTAATAATTAACCTTAGAGAGTAGAAAAATTAATAGACAAACTTCAAAAACAGTTACACCTTTATATTCGGCAAATCATCATGTTCAACCAACAGAGTTTAATAAAGGTTGGACAAACCAGTGTAGACAATAACCTGTCTATTTTATTCAGGCTAGTCAGCAGTGCAAAGACAGTTCACCCGAAAATAAAGTAAGCTAAAATAATAATATCACAGTTAGATCGGCGGGTAAACCCGCGTCAGGCTGATCGGGAGAGAGGGAGCAAGAAGCGGCCGGCGCTTCTAGATGAAGGCAGTGGCGTGTCTTCTTCCTCAACTCTTGCTTTTTTCAAATAGCACATTAAAGAAAGTTGTTTAGCCATTATTGTGGCGCCGACGCCGCTGAGAGTTTTCCTGTCGGAACCCCCAGCAACCATAGCAACCAATAACGTTCCGGAGAGAGGCTTTCTACAACTTGCTTCGACAGTTCCATTTTATTCGGAAAACAAATTAAACACACACAGCAGTCAACAATAAATCAGGTGTATATTAATATATTTTCTTAAATACATTTGAATAAAAATAAACTAAAAATGTATTTTTATCAAACTTGCCTGGGCGGGCCAGTGAGTAATGTGGGCGGGCCAGTGCCACCCTGGCCCAATACTGGCTACGCCCCTGCACTGGACAAGTGTAAATACATCTGGTTGTTGAAACCACATATGTCAATTTTACTCCTCTAAAAATGCTAAAAAAAATAAACGTGTGAGAGCGTGGTATAGGCTATATGTCAGTCAGATACGACGCTTCTGCAACAACACGCATCACCGCAGATGAGCATCTATTCATCAAGCCAACGCACAAACTATCGCAAATCAAAGTGAAAGTAAGTCGCAGACGCTCGCTTAACACACAATCATCTTCATTAAAAGTAAAGAAACGAAATGATCTTACCAGTACTGTTGCCGCTCTCTCTAATTGCGGTCTACGATTTAGACATTTTAGCTGATGATCAATAAAATGCAGCTTATCTGTTGCTTTCGGTGACGTGAACTCTATTAAATCTGCATATAGCGCGGAAATTGAAGATCGGATCTATATCTGTTTTGCAAAAACACATTTATGTGACCAGCTGTAAATGGAATCGTTTTGATAAATCAGTAGCTATCCGATCTGAGAAAACGCATGAAGTGGCGCGCGCGTGTAACGTTAAACAGCCGACCCAGGGATTCCCCAGTCCCAGCTCAAAACAAATTACACCAAAATCCATGATTGTTCGTTTCACACATGTATTTAATGATCTGTAAAATATGTTGTTGTCATTATATATTTAAAACAAAATCGTGATAAAGTAAAATGCGATCAAACTAAAAGTAGTAATCTGCGATAGGGGGCCCCGGCTGTCAATCAATATCTTCCAGTCAAGCGGGCCCCTGATTGGTCCGGGCCCGTAAGCAACCGCGTACCCTGCTTACCGATAGTTACGCCACTGATTCTAGTTAATTTCATTCAGGTAATACATTTTACAACCGACGTAACAGATTATTACTCGACGATAGCACTACAAGTATGATGACATTATCCGTTTTTTGGACATATACATTCATTTATAGGCTACATTAAATAAGCTACCATTGTCCACAGTTTATGAAATGAACACCCGCCATTCCGCGGTAATGTGTGTGTATTGCGCAGTGGCACACGAATAGTTTTGATTCAAACTAATTTGTTTAAAAAGTAACGTTTTTGCAGTAACAAGGCAGGTTTGCATAAAATCATTATGACATTATTTTTTTTTATCTAACGAGCATCTGGTTTGGCGATGCAAAAACGGACTGTCGTATATTGTTTTTTTCTTATATGTTAACTACCAGTATGTTAAAAAAAACGACGAAAACATGTTAATTGTTCGAATAATAAACAGTTTGTTTGATGACAAATCGCTAAAGATGAAATTGGCCTCCGTTTCTGTCATTGTGAGTGTGCGTTTTTCCCCCTTGTTTTTTTCGATTTTCGAACGATAATCGAATTTGCTCCTCGATTTTCCATTGTCATTTTTGGCAGAAATTCACACCCCTAATGGAAACACAGCTAGTGAACCTCAAGGAACATTAAAATATTTGTACAAATCCGTGTCATGACCCCTTTAAGGTTGTATTGTTAAAATATAAGCTTTAAGTTGATGTCAGGATTCATGTATGCTCTCAGTCAAAGGTGTTTGGTGGGTTTCTAAAGCCTTTTGCCTTCATCTGTGTGTGTGTGTGTGTGTGTGTGTGTGTGTGTGTGTGTTCAGATCCTCATTATGATCATCAAGGCAACGGCAATCCCAACAACGGCAACAACTGGCAGGACTCGCTCTTCCTCTTCCTGGCCATCTTCTTCTTCTTCTGGCTGCTGAGTGTGTGAGTGCTTCAGATGATGGACGAGGACACTGTCTCGTGTGTGTGCTTTCAGAAGATGAACTCCTGTCTGTCTGTGTCTCATATCCATATATACACACACACACTCTCTCTCACTCACACTCTCGCATACACACATACATTCTCACTCGCACACACACACTCACACACATCAGTGTTGAGAGACAGTATTAATGTAGATGAAACACTACAGCCGTTGATGAATCTCACCAGAACATCTCATGTTTCTCCTGAATGAATGCAGAGAGAAATACATCGAGCTTAAAGAAACTTATTTCAATAAACCTGCAATCTGAAATTATTTTCATGACGATTAAACAGAAACACATTCATATGGAAGCTTGTTTCCGCCACAGAATGAAAAATAAGTCACAATTACCTTTTTTATTTTTCATTCTGATATAATTGCGTGTTATAAAGTCAGAATTGTGTGTTATAAAGTCAGAATTGTGAGATATAAACTATTCTGAGGGGGAAAAGTCAGTCTTTTCCCCCCTTAGAATTGGCCTGATAACTCGCAATTGCGAGTTTATATCTCACAATTCTGAGAAAAGATGTCAGAATTTCGAAATATAAACTCGCAATTATGTTATAAAGTCAGAATTGTGTTATGTAAACTCGCAATTGTGAGATAAAAAGTCGCAATTATTTATTTATTTATTTATTTATTTATTTTAATTCAGTGGCGGAAACAAGCTTCCATACATTCATCCCCAAATTCTCATTACTTTAAAGTGTTGTTTTTACCGTAGTAATATATAAAGATCATGATCATCATGGTACTAAGAATAGTCTTAATTTAATGTGGAGTGATTAATTGTCATGAAAATGCACACGTTCATTCTCATAATGTATTTTCCTTCTTGTGATTTTTGGGGTGAAATATTACCCAGACTCATTCACCACTCTTTGTAGCTTTTCAATTTCATGCCAAAGAAGTTTATAAACGAGAGAAACGTGAAGGCAGATGTGTGGATTTATGGATGCGTTCGGTGGGATCGTATTACAGGAATCACAATTTAATCTTTTTTTTTTTTTTTTTATCCTTAAAATCGTACAAGCCGGTTCTGAAACATTTGATTTTGGAGTGAAATTTGACCTGAACATGTTTTTGTGAGATTCACCCATTGTGTTCAATGTTCAGGTTTAGCTTTAGCCTCACAGACGCACACTAGTCATAAGCTAATCTAGACTCTGACGCGGCGAGTTCCGGTCGAGATGCGGTTCAGACCCGGATGGAGGTTCAGGAAGTGTTTCCACAACAGGTTTATCTGCCGTGTGTTTGTTGTGTAAAGCAGACATGACCGCTAACATCATAACTGTTATTAATCACCTTATTATGAGTTAACACGCATTCAGTTATGATTGACAGGGGGAATGAGTGATTTGAGTAAATATATTATTGTCACAGATGAGAAACTTATGAAAATGAAAAAAGTGAATTTAATTTTCATCCTGCTAATGTGACATGCGAGTGTTGGGGAGCGTCAGCTACTCGTGTGTGTGTGTGTGTATATATGGATATTGTATTATATGATGTTTTTAAACGTCTCTCTGTCATTGGCTGTGACGTTGATTGACAGCCGAGAGGTGATGGTTTGTAATCCTGTTGGTTTTAACTGTTTTGTCAGTGTAACAAACATCCTGTGAAAAAGATTGTTTATTTCCTCTCGCTGCAGTGATTGGCCGGTTTGAACTTCTTGTCTAAAGACTGGCCACGCCCACTTTTATGATGTCACACAGTGCAGGTCGTGTTGATTGGCTGCTCGGCAGTAAAAGTGGGTGGGGTTTACGGTCAGAATCCGTTGATTCTTACTGGATGATTTAGGGTGACTTTAGTTAAAATTGCTCTTGTTTGTCTTTCCTTTTTGCATATCACTGGTTAATTATGTTTGTAACAAGCCTTTTTTGCCATAAAAGTCTTTTGGTAGCTAAATTGCATATTATTATTGTGCATATGGGCCAGAAACTAAAGTGGGTGTGGGCACTTGATAAATAAACATTTAATACAACTGGTGTGGTTATTTTTTATAGTAAAGTAGATTATATATTATAAGTGTGTGTATATATGGATGTGTGTTGAAACTGATGGCAAATATATAAAAGAAAATAAGCACCTGTTAATATGCAACGTTTTTATTAGATTTATCTATATATGTTTAAATAAATATTCAGTTAATTTCCAGTTTACACTAAATCAAACAACCAAAATAAAAATCATAAAAAAACAGTGTGAAACGAGCATGAACTACTGTAACTATAAAACATTCACAACTAAGGCTTTCTTTCCTTCATGTGTATGGAGTTTCTTATATTAGACTGTATTTTATTTTCTATTACAAAGTAAAAAATAAATAAAAATGTGGCTTTAAAAACAGTACAGTCGTTTTGGAAGAACTTTTTGTTAGTTAAAACATTCAATTATACGTGCAATATAGTTTCACTGTGCATATCTTACTAAAAAACACAGAATAAAAGGCTGATAATAAAGGCTTTGGCTCACAGACGTCATTCAAATGCACTGAAAGATCCTCAGTTTGGTTTCTTGAACAAAGTGTGAAAAATAAACTCACACACATTCACAGGCACTTCTTCAGTAAAATCAGTAAAAATGAACTCTTGAGATGTTGAGTCTCGATAACATCTAAAAAATAAAATGTAAATGGGGAATAACGATGTTTAAAAGTGTCTGGGATCTTGAAAGTGACGGTGCGTGAGGATGAAGACTGAGACCTTCATCATCTTCATCATGTCTTGGGCTGCTTGTTCTTCTTGTTGAGGATCTTCATCAGGTTCTTGGACATGAAGTAGGGTTTCTCTGCACTGCCGTCGTTGCGCTCCAGATCCTCCACTGAACACACACACACACACACACACACTGTTATCATGGTCACATGAGCTGTGAAACGACAGGTATCTTGTAGAGGAGGCACTCACAGAAGCACAGGAACAGTGTGTCCACACCCATGTTATACACACTGAAGAAGCCGTGAGCGATCAGATACGCCCCGAACACCACCGTCTGTCAGCACACACACACACACACACACACGTCACTTCTCAAGACATTTCACTTTACAGCTGATTACAAAATCAAAGTACATTTTTGTCATAATTTTGGCTTTTTATGTTGTTATTATGACTTCGTACGTCAATTTTGTACGTCAACTTGTGTCATAATTAAGATATAAGCCAAAATTATGACTTGGTATGTGATAATTTTACCGTTTCATGTAAATGTTGACTTAATATGTGAATTTCAACTTGTCATAATTTTGACTTTTTGACTTAAAAAGTCATAATTATGAGTCTAAATTATGACATACCAAGTCAAAATTATGTTATTTTGACTTATGTCATAATTTCGAATTAGTATGTCAATTTCAACTTGTGACTTGAATTGAGTGAAAAAAGGGGATTTAAAGAGTCAAAATCATGACATGATTATTGTATACTTTGTCAATATTATGACATTGCGTATTTAGTCAAAACTGACAGTCAAAAAGTCATACTAAATTGAAATTGACAAAAAACATTCATGACTTAAAAAAAGTCATGATTTGTAATGTCATATATTAGACTATAGGCTTTTTTGTCATAATTGACTTATTTAAATAAAAAAAATGGATAAAACTATTTTTATTTTTCCTGAAAGTAGTTTTAAATAAATTGTTTTTCGATTTTTAGCAAAAACACATTTTGCATAAAAATTCAGGCTATTTTACATGCAGATGTTTTACTTTTTGTAAAGTAAAAAAAATACTGTAATGCAAAGATTTTGCTTAAATCAACAAAATTCATTAAATGCACGACATCAAATAAACTGTTGATTCCTTGAGAAAGAGAACAGGACTAATCATCAAATAATGTCACAATACAAAAAAAGTTAAAGAAAATAAAGTCTATTTTAGGACCAATAAGCAAAATTTAATTTCTTATTTCTTTCTTTTGGTTTTCGGGCTGAAATAGTTGTCAGGTTTAGTGAGATATTCATTCCATATTAAATACATGCAAGACCAATCAGAATTCAGTATGCAAATTTGATGACATCATAACGTCAGTTAGATATTGAATGCAAATCAATGGTTTAACTGAAATCTCTTTACAGTGTAATGTTTATAGAGAGCGTGCATGAAGCGATGCGAGCGGGACTGAGGTCTGTGTGTGTGTGTGTGTGTGTCACCATGATGGGCATCCAGTAGTAGTTGAGAGCTGCTGTCTGAAACGTGGTTCCTGTATTGGGAATCCTGCCGGCGAAGAAGAAGAAGGCCAGCACACCTGAGAAGAGACGAGAGGTCAGCTGACGTGTGTGTGTGTGTGTGTGTGTGTGTGTGTGTGTGTCTCTCACACACTCACCCACTCCACCGACCACCAGCAGCTTCCCGAAGAACAGCAGCAGATCCGTGACTTTATCCAGCACCACGACCCTGAGGAGCATCATCGTTACACTCAGGCAGAAATTACATCAAATCCACAAATCCAGTCATACTTTTGACTTTTTGTCATAATTTTGACTTGTGTCAATTTAGTCTTTTTATGCAATAATTTTGACTTATGTCATAATTACGTCATATACGGCCATAAACAACATTCATCGTTTTTACTTGGTCTGTCGATTTCTGCTTTGAATGTCAGTTTCAACTTAAGTCATAATTATGACTGTCATAATTTCGATACATTTTTTTCATAAAGCTGGCATTTTGTGTCAGCTTTTTACTTAGTATGTCAAAAAATGTTGAAATTGATATCAAAAGTCTAAATTGTCAATTGACAAAAAAAAATGTAATTGGCAGTCCAAAAGACTTTGTCAGTTTTTATTTAGTATGTCATCATTTCGACTGTCAATTTTTTCACATTTTTATCATAATTATAACTTTAAGTCATTTTCAACTGTACATTTTTGACTTTTTGTCAATTTTAACGTCATAATTATCTTTTTTATTAATAATAAGTCATCATTTAGATTTTTCATCACGTAAATATGACTTAGTATGTCATAATTTCGACTTGAGTCAATTTGATTTGTCATAATTATTATTTCTTTATGTCATAATTTTGCCTGCCAATTTAGTCTTTATGTCAGTTTTTACTTTAGTATTTACCAAAGCATGATTTTTTTCCTATGTGGCAGAAATGCACTTTCATAAGTTGCGATATAATTCCAGACACAAGCCCTTATGTCCACGCCACACACACACAGAATCATCAGAAAATCACA